ACATCGGCCCACCGCGGCGGCTTCCACACGTAATCAGAAACATAACCTGTAAAAATTATATATTTTCTAATGTTGTCTAATGTCGATTGAAACTTTCTGAGTCGAAAGTCTCGTATCGCTCCGTTTACGCTTTCCAGTTATTATTTTTGTTCCGTCTTCTTGGCTTTTTTTAGTGACTCCCGACAGCTACCGTCTCGTCTACCATGGCTAAGAAAAAAGATTCCGAAAAGCACGAAGACGGCCAAAGAGGAGGAAAGTACAATAAGGACGACGCCGATGCCAATGAATTGGAAAATTTCGTTGACGACATTACCGACGAAGGTGAGACAGAAAATAATTGATCATAGAGATTTTACTCATCCGTTTGACTTCGTCATTTTTAGAGCTGCTCGGTGACGTATTGCAGAAGAGACCCAAAGTGTCCGATGGCGTTGACACCGTCATTATTGTTGACGGTGTTCCCCAAGTCAACCCCGAACGCTTCGACAAACTCAAGGTAGTTATCACCAAGATATTCGCTCAGTTCGGTAAAATTCTCAACGATTACTATCCAAAATCCGAGAATGGTCACACTAAAGGGTAAGTGATTTTTTAACATTCAATTTTCTACCTATGTTAACATTAATTTTGATAGAACCATTGTTTTCTTTTATTAGTTACATATTCATTGAATACGAAAAACACGAAAGTGCATTAGAAGCTGTCACTCAAGCTAATAATTACAAGCTTGACAAACAACATACTTTTTTAATTAACTTATTTTCTGACTACAAAAAGTGAGTTAAATTAACTTAAAGCTTTGTTTGGGTGTAATGATTAATATTATTTTTTATTTTAAAGATATAATGACATTCCTGAAAAATGGGAAGCTCCAACTCTGCAGCCATTCCCAGAAAGGCCTAATCTACAATATTTCTTAAGTGAGCCTGATGCATTTGATCAATATTATGTTTATAATGTAAACAGTCATATTGAAGTTTGGCTGAATAGTAATCCTCAGCCAACCAAATTAGTTGAACGTGAAGTAAGTACAATTATTTTTATTATTTTTACTTAATGAATAACATTGATTTTTTTCATTTTCAAGAAATGGACTGAATCTCTAATTATGTGGTCACCCCTTGGAACATATTTGGCAACACTACACAAACAAGGAGTTGTCCTTTGGGGAGGACCAAATTTCACAAATGTCTTGAAGCTCTCTCATCGCAACGTTCAATTTGTTGATTTTTCTCCTTGTGAACAGTAAGTCTATAAGACATTTTTGGGTCATTAGAGCATAAGAGCATTTTTAATACTTTATTTACTACTAGTTCCATCCTTGTTTTTCCAATTTAGATATCTGGTGGCTTATGCTCCATTAGATAATGGTGAACAAAAGTTGACCATTTTTGATATTCGTACTGGTGCCGAAAAGCGGTCATTTATTTCAGATGCTCCAATGGCTGGTAATGTATTAAGGTGGTCTAAGGATGACAAATATTTTGCCCGGATTGGACATAATACTCTGAGTGTTTATGAAACTCCCGTAAGTATTTAAAAGGTAACAAAAATATTTATTTTACACATCTTAATTAAATAATATTTGTTTTTAGTCTTTTGGTCTGTTGGATAAGAAAAGTATAACAGTCAATGGTATTCGAGATTTTAGTTGGTCTCCTAGGGACAATGTACTCGCCTACTGGGTTGCTGAAGATAAAGATGTACCAGCTCGAGTAGTTCTATTAGAAATACCAAGGTTAGAAAAAAATTACTATATATTTAAACAATATTTATGTATTATTTTACTCTTATGTAAAAAATATTCTAACATTATATACTAATTTTAAAATATTGCTTTTTAGCCGTAAAGAAATCCGAGCAAACAATTTGTTTAATGTAGCAGACTGTAAAATCCATTGGCAAAAAGCTGGTGACTACTTATGTGTTAAAGTTGACCGTTATGCTAAAATCAAACGTGAGAAGGGAGATGTTAAATACAGTGTAAGAATTTATCTAGTCTTTTTGTTTTTCATATCTTATGAGTTATAATAATGTTTTACGCTTAATAAGGTATTTTTATTTTTATAGGGTATGTATTTCAATTTTGAAATATTCCACATGAGAGAGAAAAATATACCTGTGGACAGTGTGGAAATTAAAGAACCAATTCATGCATTTGCTTGGGAACCAATTGGTTCTAAGTTTGCAATTATTCACGGTGAACCTAGTAATAATAGTGTAAGCTTCTATAATGTAAAATCTGGTCAAGCTCCAGTCTTATTAAGTAAGTTAAACTAATTGCAACATTATAATGTTTAGTTTCAAAAACATATTACATCTAATTTTATAATAAAAAAAGTTCTAAATGTGTGTACATGTAAATGCTATTATGCCATGTATCTAATACATGCATAGCATAATTGTACCATTATTAAGTTTTTAAATTTAAAAATGTAATTAAATGTGAACTAAAATCATTTATATTAGTCGGCTGCTGACACATTTTAAATGGTTTACATTATTTTCTTATAGAAAAGTTAGACAAACATTTCTGCAGTCATTTGTTTTGGTCTCCTGCTGGACAATACATTGTTATTGCTGAAATCCGGGATTCTGGCGCTTTAGAATTCGTTGACACCGCAGACTTCACCACTATGTGTTCAACAGAACATTATAAAGCAACCGATATTGAATGGGATCCAACTGGAAGATTTGTTGCTACTGGTGTTAGTTCATGGAAAACTAAGGTATGAATATATTTAAAAATATTTTTGGCGTGACATTGTGTATTGAATGTTAATTTAACCAGACAAGTTATAAATAGTTGAACTGTTATTATAAATTCCTCTTAATATCAAATACAATTTCACAAAATTGATCTGTAATGTCTGTAATTATTGATATCATTAATAATACTGGTTCAAATAAATTTAATGTCGTTGAATGTAATTTTCAATTCATTATTTTCCAAAGTGTACTGTCTCTACTAACCTCCCTCACAAATAATAATAAAATGATTAACTGTAGTATTGCTTCAGTTTAATATTTTATTTGCATTTAAAGAAGTTTTTCCATAATGATTTTTGTAAAATGTAACATTTTAAATTTCATTATGACAATTTTACACTTTTTATTTGTGATGTAATGTTGTATCGATATTTTTTAGGGAGATACAGGCTATTGGATATGGTCTTTCCAAGGAAGAATATTGAATAGATTCAATACAAATACCTATTGTCATATGCAATGGAGACCTAGACCCCCTACTTTGTTGAGCGCTAAACAACAAAAGGATACCAAGAAAAGTTTGAAGAAATACACTTCTCAGTTTGAGACTAAAGACAAAATGCGAATGACCAAAGCCTCTAAAGTATAATCAAAGTTATTTTACAACTAATGCATTTGATTCTAATTTGATATTTATTTTTAAATAGGAAGTCATCGATAAACGTCGAAAATTGATTAAAGAATTCGAAGAATACCGCAGCAAACGTTTAGAGGATTGGAATAAACAAAAGGCTGAAAGAATGGCTATTAGAAGTCGTAAGTGAAATTGTTTATTTATTTAATTCCACATAAAACGTAACACGATAGAACATATTCAATGATACGTTTGACATTTTTATCATTCTATTTTAACTAACTAGATAGGTATGATCACATCAATACGTGTTCTCGTCCAAACTAGCAAACCACGCCTACCATAGTTCTTGTTATTTCATTAGTCTTATTAATTTTGATGCCAATAATTTATAGTATGTGAATATTACATCAGTAATACAAGTAAGTCTTAACAGTATACTTAACCCTAGTCAAATCAGAAACAAAAATTAATTCTAAGAATCAAAAATAAATAATTTAAGTTAAATTAGTTTTGATAATAGTATTGATATTAATATTCTTGTATTGATAATATGAGAATAGGAGAACTGCGTAAATAATAGTCTGTGGGCCTGAAATGTGCTTGTCAGTAAAAATGTGATTATACCTGTCTTAGTCATGTTCTAAATTATGCATGCTCTCATGTTCGAAACACTTCTCAATAAGATACTAATTATTATCGTCTGTGTTGTATTCATTCTAACTATTTTGTTTCAGATATTGATACCGATGAACTAGATTCAGATGATAAAAACGTGCAGGTAGAAAAGGTCGAATTTTTGGTCAAAGAAGAAGTAACTGTAATTGATTAAGCTCTTTGAACGATTTTTGATGTAAACAAAATATTCAAATTGTCTTTTTTCCTTGTATTTGCAAAAGAACAATAAATACAATTTTGTCTCGAAACAATACATACGCCATTTAATATGGCCATCATAGTCCTTATTCTTATAAATATTTTCAATACTATATTATGTAAATTAGGCTTCAATTTAAATTTCAAATACAGAAGAAAAATAAATATCTGTCCAATAGGGTTTGTTCTAATAATTAAATTATATTATCTGTAATCACAAATACAATTTTACATGTTAATTGTTTTATTTATTTCATAAGTACATGTTCAAACATTTTTTTATAATACTACTTGCGTGTATTATATAATTATTATTAATATAATATATATTATTATTTATTTATAAATAAATATCACAATTGCCAACTAGGTATAATTATTACACAGTGATCACATATTTGTTAATGTTAATTATTGATATATGACAACGACAACAAAAATAATCATTACCGCGTGAGATTAATGGAAAACAAAAGATCAATTAAATCGGAGTACATGATGTTATTGCTACAATATAAAATTAGCGACTAAGTGATTAATTACAGTATCTTGCCTGCAACATAAATTATTGTAACAATTGACTTAATATTTTGTTATGACTTATACGTGATTGGTTAGCTAATAGAAAAAAAAATTACATATAATATACTTTAAACATAACAACATTAGTTAATTATTATTGGTTTGACACGGAAAATCATAAATTGTCTGCTAGAAAAAAAAAAGCGTTATTCGTAAAGAAATGTTAATAGTTGAGTAAAAACTAATACTAAACTTATTATTCAAACAGTTATAAATTCAAAGCACAATAATAATATTAAAGTATATACCCTCATAAGCAATCTAACGACTATCATTGATTTATTCAGTTTGCGTTAGTTACATATTAATACCGCTGATAATAAATAACTGGAAAAGATTTCATAGAAATAGGTACAATGCTGAGTATCGATCAACAACATTAACTACTGTTGGCTAATCTCGGTTCACGAATTCTACATTAATGATTTACACGTCCCAAATGGCATGGTTAAAGACACAACAATAAAAGGAAGACTAGTCATTAATAGTTTTAACTACTAATTAGTTAGTAGATGATATCATTATATTTTTTTAGTAAAATGAGAATGTGGGTATATTAATAAATTCAAAATGTCTTTAAATAAATATTAGAACCTCTCAGTGGAGAAATTTCGCATGAGATCATTTTCCACAGAAATTTCAATCAGTATAAATTTATAAGTTCTGTAGGCATGGAAACATAATATGGCTATGCTAACTGTATCTCAAGATAAATGGAGTACACACGGAAGCATATTATTGAAAAATTAAATGTTAATATTTAGACACATTTATAAGGGAAGAATCAATTTCCGTACAATACAGTATTAAGGTTTCCTAACGATAACTGTCTAATATTTTAACTGACTAATAACTATTAACAACTATTACATATTTAAATATTTAATTAATAACACATTACATTATGGGTTTTAACGAGTAATTGACTAAACTTGTATTAACTTTTAAGATTCTTTATTATTCTTAAAATAATTCACTTCAAAAAGCCCTGCATCTACTATTAATGATTAGTTTGATTCATGTTTGTAATAACTTTTAAGGAAATAATTTAAATTAAACTTGGCTGTATAAAACAACACTGATACGCTAAATGATTTTTTTAAATTTAGTATAATTATTAGTTCTTGGACATCATAAATTTTAAAGTGAATTATTATTTATTCCATTTTATATTGGCAAATAAATAAACATTAAGTAAGCTTAAAAATTAAGTACTTTCTAGAATATAATTATAAATACTTAGTCTTATATTAGAATTTTTCAGATTATTAATCACAGAACAAAATCATGAAACTTGGTCTACAAAAATAAATCCTATAACTGAAAAATCAGCAGTAAAATGTGAATATTTTATTTTTGAGACTGACAACTCCATTAATCGTATATAATACTGTTTTCAAAAATAAATTGTATACAATAATCAAATAGGGTAGTATACATTTAATTTAATGATCTTCTATAACTTATAATCATTAAAACTGATTTTTACCAAAAACATAAGAAAAAGGTTATGCTCATTAATGTTTAATAATACTTACAAAGCTGAGATACTTAAGTAATGTCAAGAAAATAGGAAATAGTATTAATTTATCTACAACAACAAAATTACAATTCAACTATTAAACTGTTTAAGTTTCTAAATCCTAATAATATATTATAACCAGTCGTATTGCCATTAAATACACATTTGAAATCGGACCTTTTAAGACCTAATATTGAAATTTTTCTCTTGAATGAGATAACAAATTATAAAATAACTTCATCAAACAAAAAAAGTCTGAATAAAATGTTGATAATTTTCCTATGTATGCATGTCTCCAATGTCTTATTTGTATAACAAATATATCGTTTAGTTGACATTCATACAGTCATTATTACGAACAAAAAACCGTTGAACGTACAGAGTAATTATTTACACATAACACTGGGGATTATATTTATATTGTTGGTAGGTAAAATCAATTAAGATCTAATTTTAAAAAACGATTGTAATTTTTACCAATGTTTTGATTGGCTATTAAGTAAATAATTTTGCATTATTATTATTTTCGAGAAAGACGTTATGTCCAGAGTGGAAAATAAGTTTTCTGGAATAAAGTTCTCGTCGATAATGTAATTATTTCCATCAAACGCCCCCGCAATCAAGACATGTTCACAAAATTATTTAACAGAATAATTAAGAACAATAATGTTGTCATTTTTGGTTGATTCCTTGGACATGCTCACTATAGCTTCTTCATATGACGGTGGTGGTAGGTCACTTCCTTCTTCGCTGTGACTGCCAATCAACTGTTCGTAAGACGGGGGCAAAGTTAGTTCGCTTACCGTGCGTATCGGCAACGAATACTGTTGTTGAGCGTCGGCCAACTGCCCCTGTTGAGATCGTATGTCCTGGGGCACACGAAATGGAAAATAAGATCTCCGGCGAACAAGAATAACGAAACAACTGCGGTTCTTACCTCTATCTGTTGGCGGATAACCATGTCGATGACGCGGCGCCTCCGTAAGTACAGTACGTTCCTGATGCCGATCATGACGGCCGAACAGATGCACAGCGGTCCGACCATCCACATGTGGCCCAGGTTGGCGAACACGGTGTCGTCGAACGCCCCGAACGAGAACACCGATATGATGGAGCCCAACGTGAACAGGAACACGGATATCAAGAAATACGAATACGTAACACAGTCGCAGGAGCTGCACGACCGACTCATGTCCTCTGTTAGATGCACTCGCTCCCACATATAGTAGGCTTCCATTTCAAACGCATTTCCGCACTTCCAGTGCGCGCGAAAGGAACGGACGCGAACTACAAACTGCGAAGACCACGAACGTCACGAATTATTCAGCAAACGTCGTCACTCCACCGTGACAGATCGTCATGATTTATGTTTACGTTCGCTTCCCGTTTGTGTACACTGTGCGACGACGAAGATGTTGTCTTTTTCGCCCTCAGCCTGTGATTACTTTCGTCCGTTATCAATTTCAATTGTTATTGTCTTTTATCATCGTCGTACACGACGACGACGAGACGGCCGATCCATATCGACGAGACGAATATTATCCACCTCCACCTCCACTCAGTTGCGTGCCGCCGCCGCCGTCGTCGTCGTCTGAAGAGTGGGAGATGTTGTGTACGCAAGCCGCTAGAAGCGCTGAACGTCGCTGTACTCTTGACCGATGAGATATTGTAATTTGTATTTAGTCGTGGTTTACATATTACTGTATTGGTCCAATTGCTCCCTGTTTTCACCACCAAATTCTTCGGTGGTAAGTGGTACTTCAGAATTCAACTCTGCTCACCCCGTCATCGCCGATTGTATTATACTTGTGACTTTTCGTGATGGTCGGTAGGGACCGCTCACTATTTTAGTCGCTACTCGCGAGCACGCGGCCACCGGCATTCGATGACTTTTTGACAGTAACACAAAACATGTAAAATATCTACTGACTTAATACCCACGCAAATACGGCAAAATACACGATTCTCATATACGCTTTACAGTTTGGTGTTCACAGAACACATTGTACGTCTTTATAGTGAGTACCGTAGTAGTTTGTGGTAACAGTATACGGTCAGTACACACTTTTCATCAAGTCACAATACGTCTTGATCGTTAACACTTGTAAAATTCGTCAGTTTTGTGCTGGATCCGAGCCTTTCTGGTTCAAGTATTTTTACAGTCTAGATTGCAAACATTGACACTTCCCTATGGATGAAAAGGAATCCAATGAAAATCCTAAAGTCTCCCAGTCGTCTCTGGTCAGCACTGAGGTTAAGAGTGTCATACCAAAAAACAGGTTGGTAATAAGTGGACACCATAATCGGTAGGCCTAACAACTTTGAAATAAACCGCACGTATCGTGGTCTGTACCTGCTGCAAGTTGGTTTTGAAAATGAAATTTGTCGATTTTCTCAGGTCAGAAGTCTTGAAGTGGAATGGCTGGGGATATAGAGATTCAAAGTTTAAAGTTACCGACCAGGGAATGATTCGTTTCACTGGCAATAGGTAAACGCTATTTTGGTTTGATAACAATTGGTTTTGAGTTTTTGAATGTATTTCAATCTTGAACGGATTACAATACGAAAAAGTTGTAAAATTAATGATGAATTGTTCCCAATCCAGGTATTCTATTGGAGAAACAGATTTGCCTTTTTTCACTCAATGGGTTCAACAAGTATTAAATATTGACTTAACTCTAAGGAATGTGCCTAGAGAGAAGTTCAGTTCCTTAGAGATTCCACCCTCCCGTGTATCTACCAGTTTGTATCAGTTTTATTTAATGCAATGACTTTTGCTTATAAGTTATTACAAAATAATTTTTAATTATTTTCCAGACCTTTTAAACACATTGAAAGAAATGAAAATTGACCATACGACAGACGGACCAGCTAGGCTTTTGCGATCTCATGGACAAACGCTTTATGATATTTATTCCCTCAGATATGGTAAATGTTTTCCACGCATTTGTGATTTAGTAGTCTGGCCTGGTATGTATTTAGTTTTGAGTTTTTTTGTGATAATTGTTACGTTGCAACAAGAATATTTTTTAATTAAGCAAATCATGACGACGTGATACGTATAGTTGAATTAGTCAATGTGCACGACATTGTACTGGTTCCGTTTGGTGGTGGAACTAACGTATCTGGAGCAGTATCATGTCCTACCAATGAAAATAGATGTATAGTCAGTGTGGACACTTCACAAATGGTAATTGTACTAGTACCTACGATATTGCGATATCTGGAAAATTGAAATGAGCTTTGATATATATTTTTTCTTTTGTAGAATCGTTTTTTGTGGTTGGATGAATCAAACTTACTGGTGTGCTTTGAAGCCGGAGTCATTGGTCAAGATTTAGAAAGAGAACTAAACAAACGAGGCTATACATGTGGACATGAACCCGACTCTTATGAGTTTTCTAGGTATTCATTGAAATAAAAAAAAAAAACTCGAGTGTAGCCTTTGTAGCAATCATTAAAGTAGTAAGTTTCCTTTTATTGTATTTACTATTATTAAGTATTACAATCGTTTTGTTTAGTTTAGTATTTTAGTCATATTTTGTGTGCGTTGTTAAAATGTATTAATACATTTTTCTTTTATTTTTAGTATTGAAACTTGCATGTGTTTAGTGAATACAGCTGTATTTTTAGTATTATTAATTATTATTTAACTGGAAGAAGGGTATAATCAGTAATATTGTATGTTAAACAAATCAGTTTAGGCGGTTGGGTCGCTACTAGAGCGTCAGGCATGAAGAAAAATGTGTATGGCAACATTGAAGATTTAGTAATTGATGCTAAAATGGTCACTTGCAGAGGGGTGGTAGAAAAAAACAGTAAGGTCCCAAGAATGTCAAGTGGGCCTGATTTTCAACAAATTGTCTTAGGGTCAGAAGGTTTGTTTATTGATAAATTATAATCCACAGTATTTTAGATTCATTATTGTTTCTATATTTTAGGTACATTAGGCATAATTACAGAAGTCACCTTAAAAATTCGACCTCTCCCAGATTGTTGGGTTTATGATTCTGTGGTTTTTCCTGATTTTGAATCGGGAGTAAAATGTATGAGAGAAGTAGCCAAACAAGTATGTTTTTAAATATAAACTTCACAATTACTGTTTAATTAATTAATCACGTTTAAATCTGTAGAGATGTCAACCTGTTTCAATACGATTAATGGACAACACACAGTTCAGATTTGGTCAGGCGTTACGTCCTGTTGAAAACACATATGGAAACTTGTTAGACACTTTCAAGAAATCTTATTTGACTCATGTTTGTGGTTTTCATTTAGAGTCTATATGTGTTATGACACTCCTTTTTGAAGGTGAATTTTTATACCTACTGTTCGGTAGCATTGTCTATGTACAAACAATGCTACAAGATGCGAATATTTGACTTTTTTGATAACTTGTAGCAAATGATTATCGGCAGAGTTTTTGCTAATAATTTAATTTAAAAATAACCAACCACCTGCAATATATTTGTCAACAAATTTATCATTGTGCATGTGAATATGTTAAACTAGTAAATTATTATGACTATTTTGTGTTCAGTAACAAATTGATATGACAATGTTGCTTGACAGCTAACAGTTAAAAACATTTCCAAATTGTGTTATTCAAAAATATACTGCCAATAAGAACTGTTTGCTATTGTGTTTTACTCACATGCAATTTACTACTAATAGTATTTTGTTCTAGGTAAACGGTCTAAAGTAGTTTCGCATAGAAGGTGCATCGCTAAAATAGCTGTCTCTTTTGGTGGTATAACGGCAGGAGAGAGAAATGGAGAGCGTGGTTATATGCTGACCTTTGTTATAGCTTACATACGTGTAAGAAAATTAATTTTATATTTTTATTAAGTTGATAAATTCTAATAAAGATATTATTTAGGATCTCGCCTTAGAATACAGAGTTGTAGCTGAATCGTTTGAAACATCAGTATCCTGGGATAAAACTCTTAGTTTATGTGACAATGTCAAAAAAACCGTAGCAAATGAATGCAATAGTAAGTGAATAATATAATAATTATATTATTAATTCTGACTGACCTATTTTGGGAAAAATTTTGTTTTTATTTCTTAGAGCTTAATATCAAGTATTATTTAATTAGCTGTCGCGTAACACAGACATATGACTCCGGTTGTTGTGTTTATTTTTATTTTGGATTTAATTGGACCGGACTAGACGATCCAGTATCAACTTACCATCATATTGAAACCATAGCCAGAGACACTATTATGGCTTCTGGAGGGTCTATATCTCATCATCACGGTGTGGGTAAACTACGGGCACATTGGTATGAGAAACACATGTCTAAAACAGTACTGTCACTTTACAGTGCGTCTAAAAAGATGCTAGACCCGAATAATGTGTTTGCTAATGGTAATCTTATTAGTTTTCCACTGTCCAAAATATGAACAGCAATGTGGAATATAGTCACATTTTAGTGTAAGTCTTCAACAAATACAATTTTTTATATTGATATGGTCGTTATTTATTATAATATGATGTTTAACCTTTTTAGTTTTTGAAATTGTTTCCTGTAAAATACATGGGCAACATTAGTTTAGAAAAAAATTATCAATAACTTCAGTGTAGGTATATTTTGCTTTTTTAATAAATATTAACACCAATGGTGAAAAATTCTTATAAAAATATATTAAATTTGAATTGTTGATTATCGTCTATATTTATAAAACATTTGATACAATCATCTTTTCAAACAACAAAGTAATATTATTTTGTACCTAACCACATGCACATAATAATATGTAGTTGAGGCGGTAAATATAAATTAAAGAATACAACATATTTTAGCACCTAGTGGTATTTTTCTGTGGATGTTTAATTTGACTAATTAGTATGAAGTTTAGGAAAAGATAATTATTATTTATTTATATTTATACCTAGTTACTTTGGAGTTTTGGTCACCAATTGATTTTGATGGTTGGATTAATATATGTATCCGGCACATTTTAGGTCTAATAACTTCAGCTTCGAAAGTTTTGGCATCCAATATATCCTTACTTTTCATAGTGTATTGTATTTCTAATAAAATAATGCAAACATGATGAAATTCATGAAGCATACATATTGCAATTTAAATTACTCAAGAGGCAAAAGATGAACACACTTTAGAATGACCAATCGTGACGAATTTGCAAAAAACAGTGAGAAGTCTTTGATTGTTCACTATACAATATAAACGTTTCTCAATATTTAAATAGATGTTGGTATTTTTTTTAAATGTAATTTTCAAATATATTTATGATTAATGGTATACAACATTTTACTTACCTCGTACGTCAGAATTAACATTATTTTGTTGATTGCTTTGCCGAGAAAATGTTTTTGGTTTTATTGTTGTATGGACCAATAATTTAAATAAATCTGTTTTGATTGTAATTATCTTAGTAAACAAATCAGTGATGTTTTAATATAAATAATAAAAAAACTTGTGTATCCATTGAACAATGTCTTGATTGGAATTTCCCTCCAAAAAGTAAAAATTGTTACTAATTGTAATTAAAAAAATATACGTATTTTTTACTCCAAAATGTATGTCTTGAATCTTAATTTATTTTTTTTATTCTAATATACTAATTTACCTATTTTCTGCGTACTCATGATATTTTTTATTTTCAAATCAAATCAACAAAAAAAAAAAAATATTAATGGAGGATGTGGTTATTTGAGTCACAAAATAATTGATCTGTAGAATATTACAGTCAACTGTTAATGTACTTATGAGAATTAAGAATAATAATTATATACATACAGTAGAAACTAGGTTAACTGTCACTGTTGGGACCGGAACTATGACAGTTAATAGAATACATACAGTTAACAGAAATTTCACAATAAACTACAAAAACACTGATCCACGCACACAGGCTACTCTGAGTCAGTCACTGATTAAATTAAATTAAAATGTATTCAATTTGTTCGTTTATGTTACAATCATTTCATATTTTGGATATTACTAACTATTTTTTATATATTTGATGGTCACTGCATTAGGCCCTGCGACAAGTTTATCGCAATCGCCTCATAATCTATTTTTTGATTTTGACAATGACCTTTTTATTTCTGTATAATATATTTTTATGTAGACATACTCTGTATTGTGGCTCAAATTTTTCGAATTATTTGTTAGTTAAAATGTACAACATTTTTAATTCCAATAGCTAGTTGAGACTTGCCAATTCCTCATAAGTTATACTACTCTCAGTAACCTAAAAATCTCAAAAATATAAATGCTCTTTTCTTATAAATATTTTGAGTTTAAATTTGGACATTTCAGAAAAGAATAATGATTTAAACCATTTGTTTGTAATTTAAAAATATTTTGCATGGTGTAATGTATATCATAATTTTCAAGATATTTAGACTAATTAACTTTACACAGTTATATGCTAATGGGTTATTACCCTGGGGTGGGGGCAGGCAGTCTATGATAAAACTAAAAATCTGTAAGATGAAAAGACACTATTGTCCCCTCAGATTATGTATAGGGTTACATCACTTATGTAATACGAGAGTAAAGACTTATAATATTACTAGCTGTAATCAACTTATAAGTCAATAACTATTATTTAATGCATGACATTTATTTTTGCTAAGACTAATTTAACCTATTGTATGACTAACAATTGGATAAAAAAGATCGTAAAATTAGAAAATGAATAAACAAACACATAGCTCGGGCATTAAATCCTAAATTTTTTTTTAAATAAAGCATTTTTGTTTTACAAATGAAATAACGAATGGTTATACGTAAATATCATATTTATTAAAGAAATCACAAGTAATGTGTACACACAATTTAATGAATACATAGTTTTATGAATAAGTTCATACTTATTCTTCGTAGAAAAAAAGACAATTAGACATTATGTGACATAATAAAAAAAATAATTATAATTATATTTCATTGTTCTACATTTTGGGCGTCCTTTACTTTTATTAACATTTCATTGAGTTGTAGCATTGAAGCTTGTGGAAACTATACATAGAAAAAAAACAATATCATTAATTTAGGAGTGCACAGGATCCTGGAATTCAAGAAAAAAGGTTGGAATATAATGTTTTCTTAATTTATATAGGTACTTGTATTAAAATCTAACAAATAGGGTAGAAAAATCAATCCTATACGAACTCTCAAAAAATAATCCTAAATACTTCTAAGTATAACTTCAGTATTACATTATATTACAACCTAACAAAATATTAAAATTTAAATTTAAATTATTAAAATTACTTACGATATCTCTTAATGCATTGAACAATGCTAAATCATCATTTGCATTGTAAGCTGGCAAGGAACCTGCATTTCAATTATAAAAATGTTTAGACAAATAATTATGTTTCATACATTTAAAAATGAAATCGATGAAATATTTATCATTAGGACTAGAGCAATTAATAATATGGTGACAATACTCAATTCTCTAGTAATTATTGGGTCGCATATAAATGTATACCTTCTTTAAGAATACATATTTTAAAGGTTTTTATAATACCCATTTTTATGCATACAAATTGTACAACTAATAGCATGAACACATGCCTCCCAACCAAATCATCTGGATATAACATCATCAAAATCCTTCACAGAAAAAATTCATACACCTTCTCCTTGTTTTTGAAAATTAAATTTAAAAGATTATCTAACATTCCTCAAAACCTAAAGTTTTTGATAAAATTTACTATTAATAGATACATAACCTATTTTATTTTTTTGAAAATTAAGTCTTACATAATTGAACACTTTAAGTACCTAACGCAGATATAATAAATACCAAATAAAAAAAATTGAATTTAATAAATAATTAATTTAAAATCTCAATGTATTCAATGCTTACCTAAATTAAAGTTCTGAAATGAGGAAGGATTTGGATTGTTTGTTCTAATTCCGTCTCTTTCCTTTTCATAATCTTCCCATGCTGCATTTCTGTCATTTTCATCTAATTCTTCTGCCTCATTATTTTGTAATAATGAGTCATGTTCTAGTATGTCCATTACAATGTCTTTGTGTTTCAATATTAACTCAGCCATCAAACGATCCTATCAGAGTTCACATTAATATTTAAATATAAATAGCATGCAAATATTTTTTTTGGGTTACCTTAGGTAAATTTAAAGTTGGTTTGGATTCAGTAGTTTTTGGCTCAAATTCATAAAGTTCTTCCTGACATTTCAAATTAAAATGACGATCAATTTGTTGTTCATCGATTACGCGGAAAGCTGTAGATAATTTTGATATTTGACGTTCATATATTTTTTGCTCCATGGTACCCTTATTATTACATAAAGCAAGGTAATTAGATAATAACTATATTACTAAATTCAATTTTTTTGTTTACAAGTTAGTCTTATTTTAATTACATCAATACAAATCATTCAAAATAGACAGTACATAAATAATTGACTAGAAAAAATCTGTCAAGAATAAATTTAAAAACGATAGAGGAGATTATGGCTATTTCTAGAATTAATATATGGCATTTTTTTAAAAAGATGTAGCCGTAAAGGTGAATTCTAAAATTATTTTATAATATATAAAAGTTTCATTGCAGTGAAAATATGGACAAAGGAGAAAAATATTAAATTCAAAAACATAAAAATAGACTACTACAATATTGAAATTGCATTACTCCTAACAGTGTATTAAGGCTTTATTACATTTTTGTTATTATATTTACCTCAGAAATTAATCTATAAATGTAACATGGTTTTTTCTGTCCAAATCGAAACACACGAAATATACTTTGAACATTAAGAGAGGGATTCCAAGTTACGTCAAAAATAATAACTCGATTAGCACCAATTAGATTAACACCTAAATTAAAAGCTTTTGTCGACAATAATAAAAGACGCATTCTGAAAATAAAATCATTTCATAGTTAAATAGTTAATATTATAATAATTAACTGATTTTATAATTGAGTGAAAAAAATATTTGCCTGGTGTTTTCGACATTATTAAATCGTTCACAGAAATCTTCTCTTGTTTTTGAATTAACTGAACCATCAATTCTATAAAAATCTACACCGTGATCCCAAGATTTACCATAAGGACCTCCTTTATCTTCACTGAAATCTTCAGCATTTTCCAAAAAATCTTGAATGAGATCAAGAGTAAATAAAGACTGACTGAACAATAACCTACATCAAATTAAAAGATTTGATCAAACTATAAGCAAAAATGGGAATAACTTAATTTTCAGTATTTACTGTACTTAAATGTACCAAAATAGGAAATCTAGAGATTAAGTTTTAGCTTAATATAAAAGTTATATTATTAATATAAAGTCATATTTACACTTTATCACCAATGTTTTCACATTCTTGTAGTATTGAAAACATCATTATGAACTTTGAATATGGGTACACAGAATCCATTTCAGCTCTTGATATTAATGGTTTCCACCAGTCAAAGTAATGCGTATCTGGGTTTTTAGTGTTTGGAAAGTCAAAACCTGGAACTGGCACCGCTCATATAAATTAATATCAATCCGTAATTAATAAATTAAAACAATTATAAATATGATTTAAATTTAAATAGATTAATATACTAGGAATGGATGTTTTTAATTTTTGGAAAAAAGTTTTTACATGTATTTTAAATCCATTTACAATTCAACTTTAATTTTTTTTTTTATTATTATTAATACTTGAACAATATAATTTAGCGACTAAAAAAAATATATATATCATATGTGACCAGGATATTTTCAATAATTCTTTGCAAGTAATTTAAAATTAGAGAAAGAGTTTATATTAATCATACATTTAAATGCTTTAATTATTTATTTACAGTTACGGGCTTTATAAATTGAGGCCAGTTTAAAAATAAACATTGACATTATAACATTTAGCAGATTATTAAGAAGAAATTTGTTTTGAGGAGAACTCATTTGCTAGTTTCGTAGTTCGAATGAGGTTCAATGAGAAAAATTAAAAAATATTTTCAAATTTGATAAATATTAAACTATTTAACTATTAATCTATATCATTAAGTGTAATTTTTCATTTCTTTAAACAGTATTTTCACTTAGAACAGGAGTATTATTTCACAAATTAAAATGAAACTTACTTTCAACTTCCTCAACAGAATTTGAATTATCATCAACATCAGTAGAGTCACCAGCTACAAAACGTGATTCTGCGGCCTTTAATTTTTGTTTCTAAAAACACAATATTTTGTTTTATTTTATGATATTTAACAAAATAAAATAATATTTATACTTCTTGTTTTAATTCTATTCGTTTTAAGTACAATGCTAGTAGTTTAGGATGGGTCCAAACCATTTGAAGCACATGATAATTACTGAATAATTCTGGTTGTCTATATTCATCCAAATATTTCTGATATAATTCTATTTGTTTATCAGACATCCTCAAATAAATTACATATTCATACTTAGTAGGTAAGAAAGGGGTAAGAACATTATAGTCAAATCTCTAAAAAAAAAATTAATAAATTATTACCATTACTATATTTTAATACATTTTAGAGTTTTTAGATTTTTTAAAATCCAAAAAATATGTATTGAGTATATTATTGTTTGTATATTTTATATGTCTTCTATATCATCTATTATCTAATTTGAGATAAAATGAATAAAGAATACCTGTACAAATCCTTCAAGCATTCTATGTAAAACATGAGATCTTCTCTTCATTATTTTTACATCCATTGCAGTTGAATCGGCATACTGCCCATTAGTGATTGGATTTATAAAACGATTAGTAAAATCTTTTAATGATCCTAATAAATTTGGTCGGATAAAATCAACCATACAATGATCTATATAACAAAAAATATTTTATTGATGGCTTATTTATTTTTAAGGTATTGATTTTAAATGTCAACATTGATATGTGGACAAATTATAATTTAATTTTAATATTTTAAGGTTTAGCTAGATTTATTGACACTTTTTTTTTATTTTGAATAGTATCATATTCCTATTTTTTGGCCACCATCATTAGGAGTGACGACAAGGAGCTCACAACTTTATCACAGAGTGTGTAAATAAAATAGTTCTATAAGATAGAACAGCAATAAAAGAAAGTGCAATATACGCGTTTGAAGTAAAACTTCAAGTAGGATATGAAAAGAAAAAACTCATCACAACACAGATATTTTTGTGGTTTGTTTGGAAGAAGATGCAAAAAGGCCGGTTTTCCCAACCAGAATCTACCCCCCTGTGTAAATGAAATACATACATTCTTTTAAATTATTTTGTAATGGTGTTCCAGTCAATACAATTCTTCGAAGTGTTTTAATACGATTCACTGATTTTGATGTAGCACTGCTATGATTTTTCAATGTATGTCCTTCATCGCATATGACTAAATCTGGTCCTGGATCAACAAGACCTTCAGTGATAGTAGGGAACTTGTCAATATTCTTATAATTGACAACTGATCTAAACAACTGATAGCTTGTAACCAAAACACCGTGTTCTCTTTTCCATTCTTCGACAATGTTTTTTCGACCTTCATATGTTTTTGAACTAAAATCAAAACAATTTAAGTTTAAAAAAAATTAATTAATTCATAATATTTTAACATTCTTACTCAGTAAAGTTAAGTACTAAAAAATTTCGTTCATCGTCAATATCTTGTAACCATTTATGAAACTCCTTACACCAATTTTCAATTGTTGCATTAGGAGTAATAACTAATACTGTTTTAATACCAGTCTCTGGGTATCTGAATAATGTATGAACCAAAGCTATAATCTAAAATAAAAATCTCAGATTAAATATTCCATAGCAGATGATAATAAAAAGTATTGTATTTATCAATTAGTTCACATATGAATATAAAAAATTTAATTCATATAAATTATTAATATTTCCTTTTTATATATGTAAGAATAATAAACTAATAATTTATTTTACTCGTAAAGAGGATGTTATGTAGCAAACACTTCTCTGCATTACAAAATATGCACGTCTTAACCTAACCTAACCTAACTCGTATCTTGTTTTAATATTTAAATTAATTAAATTTAATGGTAAGAATAATATCATCTGTATTAATATTATTTATTCGTTATTTTAGTTGAAAGGCAAATTATGAGCACTTTTAAATTGAAATATTTTACATATTATTTATAACTCACTATAAAATTAAGATATAAAAAAATAATAATAGGTAAATTTAACCATTAATAATATTAAAATATTAACCAACACAATTACACAAAATGGATTTAGCTGAGAACTAATTTGTCATGCTGTATGTTTGTAAGACAGAAACAATGAAAGCACCACACCTTTTTAATACTTATGTATTGTGAAAAAATATAACTCATTTATAGAAACAACATTTTGAAGTTCAGTTAATGGGCATATTCATTCAAGTATTTGTTGTAAAGTCCATCATTACGACCACATTAACTTGTTTTTTTTTAAGAAAATTTGTTGGGGATCAACTAATTAAAATAAAATAAATATTATATTTAGATACCAATTAATTAATAGTGATGTATTATTTAACAAAATTTGATTTTTTGAGAAATCAATTATAAAATTAATATTTATATATTTATTATATGGTACTGTGTAATTTTATTCTATTATACGTCATAACATGTTGGGGAGGCACTAACAGAACAAACATTTGTACACAAAATCATTGTAAATGTAGCATACTCCCTACCATTAAAATATCCATCAGAGGAACTATTCAACCATACTAAAATATTATCTGTTTATAAATTATACATAAGGCAAATTTTAGTTAAATCCATACAAAACACTACACACTCAATGCTACAGAAATAATAGACAGAAGAACAGGAAAATACATTAAACCATCATATACTTTATTAACTAATTTTAGAAACTTTCCCATAGCATGAGAAAAACTATTTTCAACAATTTAAATAACGAAGTGAAGTCTAATAAAAAGTTTATGTGAATGTCAATTCAATAATACCAATGATATAGTTAATAAAAAACAAAAAAGGCAATAAGTTAAATAGTTGGTGATCTTGATGATAATGTGTGTATCAATACAATTATAAAAAGTGTATGCCTAAGATTAATATTGTATAATATGTACCTTTATGTAATGCTGATGTTAAATTTTGTTTCTATAGTATTTGTTAATTATGTTATGTTTATTTAATTAAATTTTTATTTGTTTAAGTTTTTACTATAAAACTAATTGCAATTATGTTGAACTCAGTACACCAGATATGAGCTTATAGCTCAATATTAGTATGCGTATCAGCTATTATAAATGTATTTAATTGTAATTGTTTTAGCTGAATAAATAAAATAAATAAATAGCTTATGTATAAACTTGAAATATTTTATGTATAACATTGCATACTTGTAGAGTTTTTCCTAGACCCATACAATGAGCTAAGATTGATCCATTTCCTTTATGTTCTTTTAATCTTGCCAATGATTCAAATACAGAATTCCACAAAAATGTTATTCCTTCCACCTATAAATTTGTTATATTTCAATAAAATAAATTGTCAAATTAAATGAAAACATATTTATTTTTTAGAATGTGTGATTAACCTGATGAGGTTTAAGAAACTTAATAATATCTGGATGAACTGTAACAAGTTCTTCCAACGTATTTTCATCAAAATCTAACACCAATTTTTTACATGATTCCATTGGTGTTGGTGTGGGATCGCTAAATTTGTTGTACTAAAATATTTAAAAGAACAATTAAATTAAATTTTTATTAGAACATTAAATTAATAATATACATACTTCTTTTTGACGTTTTTCAATACGCTTCTTACGTAATTCTTCTTCTTTTAAAGCACTTTGGGTTACTTCACTCAATTCTTCTTTTTTTTTCATTTTACGAATATTTTTTCGCCCTTTTTTTTTTAACTTAATAAACAAAATTTTATAAATGTATTTATATACTATTTGTATCAAATACACATAAAAAAGTTTAAGTTCCAGAAAAATATTGCAACTTGAATATTTTTTGGGGTAGATACGTGGTTATTGAGTTTAAAAACCTTACCTTACTTTCAGATTTTGTTGTTCCAAATTAGTTTTAAGACTTACTTACTAATACAGTAGACGCCGCTTATAAGACTCACTTAGGGACCAGCACAAAGTGAGTCTTATAACCGAATGAATCTTATAGGCGAAGTGGAAAAAAAAATTAATTACGTATTTATAAATTTTATTTTACTACATATTTTGCTTTGATTTTAATACTTTAACACATATTACATATTACATACTTTATTATTGAATAAATTTAATAATCCTGATAAAAAAAACTAAAATTATAATAGGTAAATATTACATATAAAAATATTATAAAAATTATACATTAATAAAAAATTATAAAGGTTAGGTATATACGAATGTGTATTTATGTACCCGTAATTACGATAACTGTGCAGCCGCCAGATAATCAGATACCTCACTATAATAACTATAATCGTTGCGATAAATGTGAACTTTTATCTGCAATAAAAATTATTATACATTATAAGGTACCAACAGAAACTAGGAATAATCAACACGAATATTATTTAATTTTTCAAAATACCAATTTATTTCTAAATTATAACCAAAAAAGTTTATTTTCTACTATTTATTTTACGAAATTTGAGTCTTATAACCGATTTTTTTTAATGTATTTTGATACGTCCGGTCCGTTCCAGACGATTTTGAGTCTAATAAGCGACTGAACCTTATATCTGTGAGTCCTATAGGCGGCGTCTACTGTATATATATTTTTTAAAACACCATACAATTATACATTAAATAAAATTTTTAAACAAATATTAAGATATATAACAAATACATTTGATTACTTCTTATTTCAAATATTTAAACATTTATGATTCTAAGCTGTTTAAAATTATTATACTTACATGATGACTACGCAATGAATCACTGTTATCAGAATCACTTTCTTTTTCAGATTCCTCATCAGACATTCTTCTACTTAAAATAGAATATAGATAAGTATTAAACTAAAAACTTAAATGGTTTAAAAACTAACATTCTTCTACGTTTTTTGACATGTACAGGAGATGACTCTTCATCTGAACTACTGCTGATACTGCTCTTGTTACTAGTTAAGTCAAGAGAACTAGATTTATTCACATCATTTTTTGGTTTCTTTTTTGGTGTTTTTTTAAAAAACTTTGATGAAGAATCAGAATCTTTAGATGAGTTAGATGCTAACAGCTTCCTATATAAAAAAAAAAATTATCTCCGTCATACAAGTGCTTAACATAGCAAATTATACTCTCAGCAGATATAATTAAGCTCTGTTATTTTACAAATTAGAGTGAATCGACCTTTTATAAAATCATAGGTAAGATTAACTATTATATAAAAGGCATATAAAAGGTATATATATATCTTAATTTTAAAGCGAGTTATAAGTATTTTAAGATGCACTGACATCTTAAAATTTTAAAATACTCATAAAAAAACAACATACATTGTGGTAAAATCAATGAGTTCATTACTCACAATTGAACCACTAAGAGGACACTACATCTGCTTGTGTTGTCTCTGTCTTACAAATGTAGAACATAGCTAAATCTGTTTTGTAAGAAGGAAACAACACATGCGAGTGTAGTGTCCTCTTAAAAGAAAATTTTAAGCATTTAAAAATAGCTTATGAAAATTATACCAAGGTTATATAAATATTTTGTGAAAATGACAAGGCTTTATGTGTATTTCCTCATAACAAATTTGGTTTTATAAAAAGATGATTGTATTAATATTACAAGTTTATTTGGTTTAAGAATAGTAAAATCTTTGTTAAAAAAGATGAAACTTCTAAGGCTTTACTTATTGGTGACGAAAAAGCTTTATCATTAATTGTTTAACTTACATATCTCTATTCTATATTCTAATTTTTCGTAACACCGATATTGTATTTTTGTTCTCTCATTTCTATGGATATTCTTAATACCATCAATTCATACACACATTATAAAACTAAATATTTTGAAACTATTAGTGAGTTCGCTAATACCTTTGATTTATCTAGCAATAAGTTTTTAAGTGTAATTTGTATAAATATTAGAAGTGCTAATGCAAACTTTGATAATTTGTTGTTATCTTTTGAGAATGATGTTAGTTTTAAGCAATTAGATGTGATTATTTTAACTGAAACATGGCATGACATTAATAACTGTTCATATAGTATACCTGGGTTTCAAATTTGTTACACAAAAATTAAACGAAATCAAAATGACGGCATAATAGTTTTTATTAGAAATACTTTAACAATTGTAGACTCATTTGAGTATGGTTTTGTAGAAGCCAATTTTTTTAAAATATCCTTAACCAGTAACTACTGTAAAACTCCTTTTAACTTGTTATGTACTTATAGATCGCCCTCATTAAATAGCAATGAATTTTTGGTTCGACTAAATAATATTATTGTATCAGATACTTCGTTTAACGATCGTACACTATTAGCAGGTGATATGAACATAAATATAATTGGTAATCACAATGTAGATAACGAATACTTAGATATATTAGCTACTAATGGCTTTCATTCACTGATTAATGTGTACACTAGACTTCCTAATAATAAAACACACTCTTGTATAGACCATTTGTTTCTCAAATGCAATAACAATTACCTTTTAGCTAATACTGAAGCAGGGGTTCTCCAAATCGATATATCTGATCACTTTCCTACAATCACGGCAATTCCACTCAATGATATCTTATATTCTACGAATGATACATTTAAATTTATAGATTACAAACTCCTAAACGATAGGATGAAAGTCGAGAAATGGGAATCTGTCCTCAATGAAAACAATATAAATATGGCTCTTAATCTGTTCTATGATAAATTACTTTGTATAATAAATGCATGCACAATTAATAATAAAATTGTATCTAAAAATAAAAGACTTAAAGAGTGGATGTCTGCCGGGCTATTATGTTCTTCACGTCAAAAAAATGAACTTTCCCTTAAGTCTAAAAATAATCCTCTTAATAAAAATCTATTTAATTACTACAAAAAATACAGAAACAAATTTAATACAATTGTTAAGTTAGCTAAAAACAACTTTTATAAAAATAAGTTCAATTCTTGTACAAATAATCCCAAATTGACTTGGAAATTAATAAAAAATATTACAGGGGGGAGTAACTTGAAAAATAAATTAGCTATAAAACATCTTAAAGTCAATGATTTAATCATAAATACACAAACAGAACCAAAAAAAGCAGCTGATACATTTAATGAATTTTTCACTTCCATTGGACAGAAATTGCAAGATAACTTTAGTAGTACTGAACCGATAGAATCGAATAAGCCATATGAAACATCTTTTGTTGACTCGTTTTTAAGTCCTGTAGATAGCAATGAAATAATCGATTTAATAAACAGTTTAAAAGATGATACTGCCTCAGGCTTTGATAAAATAACTGTCAAACTACTAAAAAACATTTCAGTTTTTATATCTAGCCCTCTAGTACATATATATAACATGAGCTTATCAGAAGGTATTTTTCCAACAAAATTTAAACTAGCGATAGTCAAACCACTCTTCAAAAATGGAAACAAAGAAATTATGAGTAATTATAGGCCAATTTCAATGATATGCAATTTTTCTTAACTTTTAGAAAAAATTGTGAAATCTAGATTAATGAGTTTCCTGGAAAAACATCATCTTCTCTCTAAGAACCAATTTGGGTTTAGGCCAGGTGTAGGTACTGTGGATGCAATCTATAGTGTTTCTAGGCATATATATGAAGGGCTGGATCGTGGTGATAAAACTATAGGGATTTTCCTAGATTTCGCCAAAGCATTCGATACTGTCGACCATAAAATCTTGTTAAAAACATTACCAAATTTTGGAATAAAAAATAATAGTCTAAGCTGGTTTGCAAGTTACTTAAAGGACAGAATGCAAATGGTTATGGTAAATGATGTTTTGGGGAAAGAACTTGTATTTAACTGTGGTGTTCCTCAAGGAAGTGTTTTAGGCCCAATTTTATTTATAATATATATTAACAGCATTTGTGACTCGCAGACGGATGGTTCAATATTTACATATGCAGACGATACATGTTTACTGTACTCTGATACATCATGGGACTCAGTCTATGCTAAAGCATCTACTGGACTAAACCAAATTATTCGAAAACTAAATACAAAAAAATTTACTTTAAATTTTGATAAAACAGAATTTATAGCTTTTTCTATTTACTCCTGTCAAAGCCCATTTGATGAAATCGAAATCACAAATAATATACACAACCATAATGGTTGCAAAATAAAAAGGGTAACTAGGGTAAGATACCTAGGCCTAATCTTCGACCAAAATATGAAATGGCAACTCCACATAAACAGTATGACTATGCGCCTAAGGACAATTATGTACAAAATATATTGTTTGAGGAAAATAATCTCATCAGATACTATGCGTATAGTATACCTTTCTCTCTACCAAGCTATTTTTCAATATGGTATAATTGCCTGGGGTGGTACATATGAAAATGCTATTAAGCCTTTAACTATACAGCAAAACAAAATAGTTCGTAAATGCCTTGACAAAAACACGTTAGAAGGATCAACTAAATTAAATTATAAATGCTTGGGCGTTCTACCTATTAATTTACTTTACAAAAAATTCGCGATCATGTTTCTTATTAAAAATACTCCTATAAATGATATTGTATATTCAAAACGTAATAGAACATATGACATCTCAAATAATTACACTAAAAAGACTATTGGACAAATATTCGTTGACTATTTAGGACCAACTTTCTTCAATGCAATGCCTTTCGCTATCAAGAAAACTATAAGATCAAATCCCAAATCTAATCATAAAATAATAATCTACAATTGGCTTCTACAAGAAATATAATACCTAGTTTTTAAGGAATGTCTAAATATTATGTATGTATAGAGTATGTTATTAATTTCATTCTTTTTGTACTTCCTCTATTATGTTTAATTAAATGTCGAATGTCGATTTAATCAATTTGCTGCTGTAATTAGTAATTAATATATGTATATAATCTAAGTTGTAACATGTAACTCTCTACTACCAACTCAAGCTCTGCTTAAAGGTAGTAGATATAACAATGTTTTTTTGTTTTATTTAATAAAAAAAAAAAAAAAAAATTAATATAATATTCCAGTATAGGTACATGTTTTTTTTTGTAATTATCAAGAAAAGTACTGTGGTGAAAATGTTTTTGACAAATTTTCAGACCCAAATAACGTTAAATTAAAAAAAAAACCAACATTTTGTGAAACTTAACTGGTACTTTCCTAGCTGTGCTTAGAATCTAAAATTATAAACAAACCGTTAATAATATTTTATATTAATTAAATTAAAAGCAATACCGTTTTTTTCCTTTGGTTTTTGTATTTAAATTCAAATAAACATCACTATCACTATCACTCGTTGATGATACTTTAAATGGAGATAGTTGTCTTGAACGAGTAACAATAGTTGTATTATTATGTACATCTGATAAATCTGACAAGTCCTTAAAATACAATGTAATTTTTATGATTAATATCAATACACTTTAAGGAAGTTAACAAACAAAATACTTGATTTACTATTTCATTTAATTCAAAATAAGTGTTATAAATACATTTTAAGAATGGATGTGTACCAAATTAATTTAAGATTTCAAATTGATTCTATTTTTATAAAATTTAGCATTTATTTTTATTAATGTATACTCAGAATAAATGGACACATCACAAAGAAATATATTACTTGCATACAAAATTGTATTTGTGGTTATAATACTTTGATACTAGTTAAGCTTAAACTTATCATTATAATGTATACACCTATGTACTTGCCGTAAAATTGGGTCACTTCGGATATTTTTTTTTAGGTTTTTTTTGTAAAAAACAGGTTGATATTTTTTATTTGAAATTCACCAACAAATAATATATGTTCTAGACATGTCTACAATTCTAATAGAATCGTTTCTGAGGACACACTCTGGTTAAGTTTTTAAAAAAATAAATCATAATTTCATCTTTAGAAACAAGTAAAATAAAATAAAATAAATCTATTATCAACCTAATAAACAAATACAATTTAAAATTAATATTTTTAAATATGTTTCAGCTAAAATTCTCAAAGGCTGTTTTGATTTTTTATATTCAATAATAGTCTTTTCTAAAATCGTAGAGCCATAACATAACTTTGATAGGCATGTCCAACTAATTTTATTTTTCTATATTTGCCATTGTCTAAAGTCAGACAGGTTTTTATTTTTACACTTAAAAATTGATAAAAAATCCAAAAATAATAGTAAAAAATTGAAAACATAATGATTTAATACCTAGTAAGCAGTTTTTTAAAAAAAAATTTGCTGTTATATTCTAAAATGAAAGCATCTATAAATTAAGATATGATAAACAGACAAAAATAACTGTGATAATGTAAACGAAAGTGTATCAAATGTGATCACTGATGGAAGGTTCCGATACATATTGTTTTGTTCCATACACTATCAAAGAGATGATTTTGATCCAATTTTACGGTATCACAAATAAATTGATGATGCGTTATATAATCTAGTTAATATGCATTAAATAAGTATTGAATTATAACAATCTAGCAGAGATTATTAATAGAATATCTGTAAATGACCAAGAGGAAAATATGAATGTATTATTAAAATTTAACTTGGGTTGAATACAGCTTTCTGTGATTCCTCTGTGGAACTCCCACATAACTCCTTGAATTTTTAAATTTTTTAGAAGTATAGTTAAGTATCTTATATTTTATCCAAAACTAATTAATTAGATACAATTATTATTAAAACAACATAAAAAAATTAAGAACGAACAATTGCCTGTCTACTGTCTACTCATCCCCCAAATAGGTACATATGTTGTTGCATTTAATATTAAATAAAATGAAAACAGTGCTACATGTCTTCTCTAATCATTATCATCACTGTTACTTATTGTTTTTGTGTGTTAACAGATTGTAATATTTTATTAAATAAAAAAAAAAAAAATGAAAACGAATGATAATTATCAATATAACTTACAGAACTTACTTCATTTTCAAATCCATCAGATTCAATTATAGTGTCCACATCATTAATGTTTGATCGAATCTTTTTATTATAATGATCAATACTACGTTTTTTACAAGCAGTTAAGCATGAATTTATGACATCATCAATAGAGCTGTCATCTGAGCAAAAAACAAACATATTATTTCCAAAACATTCAAAACTGTACTAATTTAGTGTAGGCAATTATATTGCAATGTTGATATGTTATACTACAAAAATTCAAAATTAATGAATAGACATTTTGATTATAAGTAGAAACTGGAAAGTGAAAAAAACCTATAGACAATTCATATCTTTGTATTCAAAAAATTAAATTTGGGAAACAAAAAAACATCATGGAAATATGACATATTTGGATTATTATAAGAGTTTTTGAACGTTAAACAAAGTACCTAATATTATTATTATTATTATTGTCACAAACTGGACAAAACGACTGACTGATTAAGTCTAATAATAAGCATACACTTGGTGTGAAAAAATGCGTAATAATTTTTCAAATGTATAGAAACAAATATAATTTCCATCAATAAATTTACTTACATACAGTAAAATGTAAAATGTCACTATATTATTTTCATTACAAAGTGGTAAGTACAATGGAGCATTCTTAATAAGTTTAAAAAGACAGCATAATATTTGACTTGCCTCCCAACTCTTTAGAAGCTATGGACAAGTTTTAATACTACCAAGGTTATTGAAAAGAAAAATATTTTTTTGTTAATGTCTTGTATATTTTAGTGTATATAAAATAAATTATTTTATATTTAATTTAACAAAAAAATGTTTTAGTATCAAGTTAATATTTGAAGAGTTGGGGGTATGCACCATGATAGTTTGTGAGCTGTACTCCGCTTCAAGAGAGAAGGAAATCTTTTTTTGTGTCAGTTGCCACCACTTGGGACTGTTTGATTACGAAATGGGTAGTAAGAAGTGGGGAAATTTGACCTCCGCACTTCCACCAACGTTATTCAGATGCATGAAACCAGTTCCTTCACCCATGAAACAGAGTGTAGTATTGTTATACGTTTATTACTTACAACACAAGATTTATTGAAAGGAATTTAAGAATATATCCATGAAAGTATTAGGGGTTTATAATTGTTTGTAAAAGTGGTAGGTTCTTTTATGTTACATTAAGTATCATTCAATAATTACCGCTTTCATCACCACTGTTGTTTTCAATGTTAGTCTGAGGTATTCCTATAGAATTTTTGATTTCGGTAAAAATACCTTTAACTGATTCCAGAGAATTTTCTTCATTTAGAGTATCATTATCGGTACCTAAAAAAAAAATGAGTTTATAAGCACCTAAATAACTAAATACACAACATTAACAAATAATCAATTATGTAACCGATTTCTAAAATCTGATCATTTTCTATTTAAAATTCTAAGAGAAAAGGGAAATCTAGTGATGCAGCAATATCTTTTTACAAATCTAAGTAAATTAAAAATGTAATTAATTATTTGAATTCATCAGTAGTTTTTGAGAAAATAACAAACTTAGCTATGAATCCGGTTTAATACAGTAGGTTGAAATATTTTTGCCGAAAAAATTTGCATTTGAAAATATCTTGTATAATGATGTACATTAAAAGTGTCATGTACCAACAATTAATACTTATAAATTATAACAAAATACCTACCATCATTATTCTTTATTTAAACAAGTTTAAACTAATTTTAACTTAAACTATCAATAGTACTATACTATATTTTATTAAAGAGTGTTTTTAATGAGTATATACTAAATACTTTAATTATTGATATGAAAGTTAATCATATATCATGATTAATAATTATTTGGTATTTAATACTATAGTTCACAAATTATAAAATAGAACAAGAACAGCTGATTATAGGTATAATTTGTCGATTTATGTATACTTAAATATTATTAGTATGTTAGAAAAACATAAACCTAACCGAAAGTATTTTTTTTAAATACTGATTAATTTATAAATACCAGAGTCGCTCCCGTCAATTGTTGAAAGAAATTGATGAATGTTTTCCAATTTATTTACTTCATTTTTGGATCTTTTAGGAGATACTTTGAGACTTGCATGGTTAGGTAGTGTCGCTAATGTGGTGTCAATATCATCAGAATTATCTTCATCATCAGTTACAACTTTATTTTTTGAGCATCTTTCAATGCCATTTAAATTAGTCAGCCTAAAATAAGCAAATAAGCAATACAATATTCAGCAAACTTTTATATATATTAGTGCGAATTATGTAAAATTAATTTATACCTATCATTTTCTTTTTCATCCTCAGATTTTTCTTCAAGTACTTTTTGAGTTTTAGTTGAGTTTTTTGTCTAGATAATATTAACGACAAGTTTATAATTAATTCACACTCAAGCATATTTTATTTGTAATAAAAGCATAATATGGGAAGAGGGGGGAGGAATATAAAATAATGTTTAGTCACTAAAAATGATAAAAATATGCTTAGTTTAATTAAGATTTTTTTAAAAAATGTCAATTTAAAAGAGAAAACAGATAGATTATTTTTAACAGTAAATATAAATAATCAGGAATACTTTTAAAAGACAAAAATACTTAGCAAATATATAATGTGTTAAAGGAAACAATATGAGGTTAAAATTATGTTGTAATAATAAATTATAATTTTAATAACTCAAAATTGTTTGACCAGACCAGTATATATTGTAAAACAAATACTTTTAAATAATATTGTAGCATGATAAATTAAATAAACCTAACAGAATATAGTATAATAAAAAAAACAAGGCTTAATTGATGTTTTACCTTATTAGCTTTTTTAAGTGTACGATTTCTCAATTTTCTTGTATTCTCGCTTCTATCATCACTATCACTATTATCAAATAAATTCAAAGGATGAGCCATTTCATCTTTTTCCAAATCAAGATGAACTTTATTAGACGATTTATTATTAATTATTCTTGATATGAGAGATTCATCCAACCGTTCTAAAACAACAGATACATTTTTATTCACGGTGTTAGGTGTTGGAGGAACACTCGGAGATAACGATGTTGGTTGTAAGCTTGAAGAAGATAAAGATATTGTTGAGTTCAAATTATCAGCATCTTGTTTTTTGTCTGATCTTAATCTTCTTGTAATACATTTGTTCGATTCTTTTGATGATAGATTGACTGTATCGGTTTTTGTTTTTTTACTTAAATTTCCTTTCAATATTGAACAATCCACAAACATATTTTCATCTCCATCAACAGGCTTCAATAAAGATTTCATAATAGCAGAAACACCAGGACTCAAATGTGAATTAATATTAAATATTCTCTTGAGATCAGTTAAAGTAGAACACGTTTTCTCTATAACATGCTCACAAATGTTGATGACTCCACTTAAATGTTCATCAATTGGATTATTATCATCAGAAGAAAATTTTGATATTTCATTTACTATAGATGACTTATATAGTTTTAAAATAAAATTAAGACACAAGTTGTTTTTAATATTATCCATTTTAGAATTGTTCCCAATTTTAGCTTCTTTTAGCAAGTATTTTCGAACAGTTTGTTCATGATCTGTTTCATTTACTAATAAGCCATTAGGCAGACATCTGAAAATAATTAATACACATACCTAAGTAGTTTAATTAATAATATATCATAGAATAGGTAATCATTTAATACATACAATTAAAAAAAATTAATATTATATACTATCAATTTCTATTTAATATGTCACCATTGTTTACTAAATAATAAAATATTTTAATATGGCAAATTTGCTTTCAGTAAAACCTATCTGAGTTATTAAAATTATTATTAAACTTAATTTAAACCTATAATCTATTATCAGACTTAGTACTTGAAGAGTATTTGTTTCAATCTTTCTATGATATATAAGCATTTCTAAATGATAATATTTTAGACACTTGCATGAAAATTTTAATATTGTAAAAAACCAAATGTACAAACACAATTAATATTCAAATTTTTAAGTTTGACAATAGGTCAAAAGATCAAGTCACTATAACAACAAACAACACAACATTGGTTCAACAAGATTATTTTGCACATAAAATAAAATTAATCATCGATAAATATAGTATTAATGAACCATTTATTCAAATAAATGTTAATAAAACATTACATAAACATCTCAAGAGTAAAATAATACAATTGCAAGATTGTGCGTGCACAAGTGACGTCATGTATATACCTTCCATTGCAATTCAAAGCAAAAAAAAGTGATAAATAACTAGAATAACAAAATACCAAACATTTACTTACAGTTGAGAAGAAAATACTTTTAATACATTAGCAGCTTCAGCTCTTTTTTTCCATAACATTTTTGGTGCACAATTGAAGCATTGATTTAAAACACCAATAGATGCTTTGTCAATTTTTTGATTTTGAACACAACGCTAAAAAAATCAATTAATTTGATAAAAAAATTAATATTATTTTAATATCAACCATAGTATTTAAAGAGTGATTCACTGAACCCAATTTTTTCTTCAACAATTCAGTTATTCAAAATATGATTTTTGGAATTTTGAAATGCATAAAAGCCTATATTTTCAAATTCTTGAGATTTTGGGCACTACTTTACTTCTAAGATAAAAACTTCTGTTTTTTAAAATGAGAGGCCCCTTTTTCACTACTGTAACTTATTTAACACATAATTTATCTGAAAATGTTGACATATCAATATCAAAATTTGAATGAGTAGTTTTTGAGTTATTTGACTTGTATAATAAAGCTTAAGATAATAAGTCTTTTTTTTCTTATGGAACTGTTGCACCAATTCTTATTCCCATGCAACATCATCGTTTATTGAACAAAAACATTCAAATTACATAACAAAATTAAAAATCGGTCTAATGGGTATGAGAGCTAGTGATTTGATAATTTTATTAATTAATATTAATCCATCAACATTTCTAATTTGTAAAAATGGTCCTTTTATAAATGTACATACTATAGGTATACAATATTGTAAAATCATTTTTAAAGACTATTATTCTTTGAAACTACTTGTTCAAATTTTGGTAAATTAATATTGTCTTTAAGTAGACATATTTAAAAATTGCAATATATTTAAAGACCATATTTTAAAAATTCCAAAAATCAGAATTTTAATTAATCTGTTACTAAAGAAAACAATGGTGGTGACCATACTCGGTGAATCATCCTACATAACAGATTTAAATAAAGTGTTTTATTACATTACAAACATTAAGATTGCATTTTATACAATTAGAGAGATCTGTATTGGATTTGCACAAGATACAGCTATACTGATTTCCTTCACACAGTTTGTAGAAACAGTTCTAAAAAAAAAAAAAACAATGCCAACATAAGTAATACAATTATTTATTGTAAAAAAAAATAATGTATACCTACTATTTGTATTTTAATATAAATGCTAAAAGTGCAGTAATAAATATGGAACGTAAGCAAACAAGAATTACTACAAATAAACGAAACCAAAATGGAGTACATGGTCGTTGGCAGATGAGATACTAAGGGTGCATACACATCCTTGATTGTAAGAACCTTCTTTTTCAGCAGAGCATAGCACTTTAAGGGCCTAGGGTCAGTATTAACTAAAAATAATAAGATAGATAAGGAAATTTAATCAAGGACACTTGCCGGCTATTGCCCTATTTAGCTTTTTATAGACTGCCAATAAACTGGTAGTATCTAAATCTGTATCAAGGAAACTTAAAATAAAGCTATATATCATATTACTGCGTGTGGAGTGGAAACATGGCCACTAAGAAAGGAAGATAGGGGAACGCTGATAGTCTCGAAGAGGAAAGATCTAAAAAAGATTTATGGACCAATGAAAGAAAGCAATAGCACTGAGTGGAGGATAAGAACAAATAATAAGCTAGGATTAATTTTCCACAAACCAAATATATAGAAGACAAATGTGGGCTGGCTGGATGCCATTGATATAGCCTTAAGTAAAAAGGATTCAGTAGGGAAAACTTTGTATGAGATGGAAAGATTTAACAAAAAATATGGAAGTACCTTAGGTTAAGGATCAGATTGGAAGGATCGAGCATCTGACAAATAGATGTAAGGATGGATGTTTGGCAGGGTAGACCTGGTGGCCAAAGAAGAAGAATAACTAATATATAACAATCTACAATTAAAAAAGCAACTATGTTACATATCTAACAATAACTAATTTTACACGTTCAATTAGTGAACAGTTTACAGTAGAATGGCCATATGATGTCTATAACATCAATGAGATTTTAAATGGCAATGATCAATACACATTATCCCCAACTTATGTAAACAATCTTACATTCCTTACTTATATCATTTTTAACAAAACTATTATTATGATAGAAGCTCCTATAAAAATAATTTTTGTGGGTTACATCACTTGGCTTTCTATACTCCGCGCCACGAGAGAAGGAACCCGTTTCCCGACCAAATTGCAACCGACTCCGCGCATCCCCACTTATTTGACATATCTTCGTCTAGTTACCTAGCCTAGTAACGCTAACTGCCGTCAGTCTGCATGCGCGAAACGGGTTCCTTCTCTTGTGGCTCGGAGTATAGTATCCATGTATATTTTTTATGAATAAGATAAATAAAACTTACGTAGCAACATAGAAATAGATGACTTTGATGAACCATTATCATTTTCTTTGAAATAATTTCATGTAAAAGATCATCATTACAAATTGTACATTTAACTTCATTGTTCAAAATATCTTCAACATCTAGTGAGACATACAATTTAACTTAGATACACATTTTTACAGGTAGTTACTATCAACCCATATTTAAAAAATTAAGTAATCTACATGGCTTGTAATTCATAAAACTAGTTAAGGTACTAAAAAAATAGCAGAGCTAGGAATGTATTGATTGATGTGGTTTTTTTCTGTTTGTCTGCCTTTTTGGACAGTAAAAATGCTTAGGAAGGTTAAAAGTAATTAATTAACAGTAGTTTTCACAAGCGTAGGGGAAACAAATTAATTTAATTTTTCTTTTTTTGCCGTAACTTAAAACTTATAACAGTAGATACTTTACATTTTTGCCAAATGTTTGTATGAGCATTTTACATACATGATACAATTTTAAAAATTGGTATTTTGACTTATTTGAGCTATTTGTAGCCACGAGGAATTCTAGATTTTGTTAAGTTTATTTTTAGATTGAATGTTCACAAAATTCATCAAAATGTATGAAAATTTAAAATAAGTTTCCTCAGAAGTAGTTCTTGTAACTAACAAATATATCCATGCAGTTTTATTTTATAGACATCTATAAATTCATATTTGGCCAAAATTAGAAATTTAAACAAAGAATAATAGTATAGTATAAAAGTTATTTTGTTGTAATTCAAATACATTATTTGTGGAGACTTATATTAATAATTTTTAATTAATATAATAAAATATGCAATTTTTTGGCAAATCGTTTGTAATACGATCAAAAAACACATCATGAAATATACTCGACAGACTTACAGGCCATCTCAGGATCATCTTTTGTATACAATGATAATACATCATTGAATTCTAAAGTCAAAACCCTTCCAATTATGCCATTACAGTGACCTACTTGCCCACCTAGCACCTACTGAACAGCAAAACTGGCAAACGGTACCCACTTTCCCACTTTTATATTATTCTTTTATTGTGTAGCGTGTAACTGTGTAAGTTTATATTTATATTATATTATATACACATAAATACTTTTTATTTGGAGTAATATGTAAAAAAAATTGTATTGTCTCGTCTGGATCACTAATAAATATAATATAATTATCTTAGCACCGTTTTTACAATGCCCAGTTAAGTGTCAGGTAGAAGCTAACTGGCTGATAACAGATTTAATTACCAGCAAAATTCTGAATGAAGTGTCTGTTAACTTTAACCAGAGATGGTAAAAACCACCCTTATTCATTAAGAGGACATTACGAAGACATTTGTAGTCTCCGTCTTACAAGTTACAAAACAAATTTCACGGTCAACAAATAACATTTGGCTTCATTAGTATAGAAAATTAAAGTGAATTTTAACCTCTTATAAAAATTTAAAGGTTGGATTATTATCTAGGGCGCCTCATAGGCTTTTTAATGTATTTTAATTTTAAAACAAGTTATGAGTATTTTAAGATGTACAAGCAATTTAAATTTTAAAATACTCATAAACAATACATTCATTACTCACAATCTAATAATTTATAAAACATTAAAAGCATCTAAAAATAGGTTATCATAAATGTAATGCTATGTTGTATGATATTCATTTATTGCAGATAATAAAATGTTTTAAATTGTATGAAATTAGTATTTATCAAAAGGATTTTGATTGGCTGGGGGAGGGAAGAAAGTTGTGAAATTACAACCTTGCCCCATAAATTGTTTAGGATCATTTACATTCTTGGGAAGTTGGCCCTATTTTAAATTTGACTTTGGGGCCTCCAAGTTGAGGCACTGGAACCAATTCTCAATAATTAAAAAAATCCCAATGATTACACAGTCATTCTTTTAGAATTTTGCTCTTAATAGTATTTACCTCCATAGTTCTTTTTGCGAAATTTGATTTCATTGTCCTTTGGATAAACAGTCTCCATCATGATGGCTCGGAACCCAATCAACTTTGACTTCCAATAAACTAATGAACTGAAATTCAATAACATTACATTAAAAGTATGCGTTCACAATTACTGATATTATGCATACAACTATAAAAAATGTAAATAATTCAATTAGTTAGATAAGAAATACATAGATTTACACAAACTTAGGAGTATTCTATGTCTCCGCAACATAACTGAGAATCAACACAGTGAAATACATTATTTAGTTATTAATAATGCCATATTATTATTGTTGGCAATAAACACAACAGACATTTGAAAACTTAGGGCACCAACGAAAACATTATTTTAAGTGAAATTAAAGGATCAAAAGATCACAAGCCATAATACTAATTACCATTCGGTTTTTCACAAATTCACCCGTATTTCGGAAAATGTGAACAATATACCGATAGGCGGGAACTCCGGGCTACGATGATAAGACGATTGTATGTTATTGAGAAAGTTAAAACTTCGAAAAAAACAGCTCTACAGGAATCACATAGTCAATAACAAGAGCAAACATGGAGTCTGGACGTCTGCACATCGTACTCGACAAAGTATTTATCGAACGAAGCTCGAAAGACATCAACAAACGTTTCATTCATTACAATTTTGCAACAACCAACAGTTAACAGAAGTTTTTAATTTTTTTAAGCTCCCTAATCACACTAAACGCAGGAAGTATTGCCAACACGATATGTAAAATACGATAATCATAACCAGTTATAGATATTATTTAAAAAATATCTGAATCATGAAGAAATTACGATATTTCGTCCTGATCTGAGTATTATTATTATTTTTTTTTTTTATTCTAAGCTATCCGAATAGAGCCCGAGCGATTTATGTTCCCAGACAACCAGATTTTTATATTATATTATAGATGAGTAAAAAGTTAAGTGATAGCGATAAACAGATACAGATGTTTTCGTGACTCGCCTGCTTCCGTGGGCCCACTGCTACTCCAGCTAGACGCTAGTTTTCAACCAGTAATAACAACCCGGTAACCGCCATCGCCATGCTGGATTTTGGCGGTAAATTCTACATATATATTCGACTATTATTCATATTTCACAGTTGTAGAAAAATGCTTCGATTTTTAACTTCGAAGGTGTTTGTTTGTTTCTAAATTATTATGTCCAGTTAGTAGTCTTGGGAGATTGTTGAAATTAAAAGTTCTCTGTAAATTTCAAAACAATCGGGATAAATGAGAAATGTAACGTAAAACCACTTATCGACAAAAACAATGTAGTTTATTTGTTGTAATTCAGAAATTAAGAAAACTGTAGACTTGAAATTTTCACGAAATATTCGTTCTAACATTTTCTAGACTTGATATTATTTTTTTAATATTTTATGCCATTAATATATATTCTGAATAGTTTGACTTATTTTTGGTTTGTGCCTAGACAATTTTAAAAATATTGCATAAAGTTCAACAGTTTTTTTTATTATTATTATTACAAAGGAATGTTTGTTTACAATCTGTATTTTTAGTAATACAATAAGTAAATGAGATAAAAATGATAAGTAAATAAATAGTAGGTCAGGAGAGGAGAAACAGTCATTGGCAGCACCCCGGATGCTATTTTAATTGTTAATAAAACTCAGTACATTCTTACATTAGTTCGTTTTCGGGAGTCTGGGTGGGTTGTTAGGAATTTGAGTGGAAGTGAGACTTCTGAAATTGACTGAAATTTTTGTATTGTCTTAGTGTTAGACAGTTTAGCTAATCCCCATGGTTGATTACTGTAGTCAGGAAAGTAGTGTAGATTGTGGGGGATGAGGTGACCGAGTGGTCTGACGCGTCCGCTGCGACGCAGCCGGTCGCGGTTCGATCCTCGGCTACCGGGCGGCATTTTTCTCCGGACAAGTCGCGGTGACCGGAGAACAAGTGCTGCCATCCCCCACCCCCGGGGCATGGCAGAAACCTACGGGTGCCCCATTCGAAATTCTGCCAAAAACAAACACACACGTGTTCCCCCCTACCGTCCCAAAATATACAATACACAACAAACCTACAATACAAATCCTACTACAGCTAATGGCCTCAGTTGCCGAAGCTTAAGATCAATAAAAAAAAAAAAAGTGTAGATTGTGAGTTTTGTTTTTAATGGTAGTTTAGAACGGAATAAAGATCTGAGTAAGTGATGCCAGAGTTTGAGTGCTTTACATTTTACACGTTAGCGAGGTCCTCAGGTGAGATATTTGTCAAGTACCTATTAAGCTCAGATATTTTGTTTGAGTTGCAACTGGGATTTGAGTGCTGATTGTGGAGGTTGGGGGCCATCAATGGGCCACAGAGTGAAGGTAACCTGGATTGACTTATTTATAAACATTTTAACTTTTAAGTTTATACTACATTAGTCAAAATCACTGAAATGTGTATGGTTTATGAAGTTAACATTCAGTTTAAACAAAATGTCATTTAAAGACTAATCTAAAAAACAAAGATTTTTTTACTTTTAAGTTTGAGTTAATTCATTAACTAATGTAAAAACTATAAAATTTTAACTAGGTACAGATAAATGAAAATTGTCACATTGTATATTTTTCAGGCAGAAACCATACATGTGCAAATGGCTTCCTGAAGTTACCTAAATATCAGTTCTAAATAAATAAAGGTATACAGTATACACTCAATTATTTTTTTAAAGTTGTCTATGTTATACAGTGCAGATATGAGAACAGTTATTTTTTTAAGTATAAATCAACTTCTATTTTTTCTTTAATTTTCATGACAATTTTTGATTACCAAAAGAATCATAAGTAAAAATATAAAATACTTATAACACTAGAAAATAATTATGAACTATAAATAATAAGACTTATCAGTTTTACAAAATATTTAAGAATTCAGTTTATTATTTTATATTTATAATTACAATGTATTAACATTTTAATAGAAGTGCATCATTGATCATATTCACATAATCACTGGTGTCAGATTTTGAGCTACATTTAAAGAAATTTTAAGTAGATATATATTTTTAAAATGTTGAATATCAAGAAATGTCATAACGTTAAGTGAAACATTTTTTTATTTATGTATCATAGTCTGTCTAATTTTCCATCGTAGTTCATTATGATTTTTTTCACCTGGCACTTTATGATTTTGCCATTCTGTTTGGTAATATTGATGTAATGCTACTGGATCCATTCGTTTCCTTTTTAAAATTTGTGAATATTTGTTCTCTCCTAAAATCATACACTATAGATTAAACGATAGGTATAACTGTAATACTGTATAACATTATTTGATTATTAGATTTTAGAGAACTAGAAGGTAACTATTTTCATGGGTATATCAATATTAATTTAGAATACTTATAAATGAATAATAACTAGAGCTCGAATTTTGATACATTTGTATCATTTTTTCTGGAAATGCTTGGCATGATGCTTTTCAAGATACAAATATGATTCAAGTACACAATATGCAAACAACACATTTTTAAAAATTGTTGACGTTTAAGTGTATTTTTAAGTCTCTTTAGGTCGCCTTTTAACCCCAGAAATATTACAAGAAATATATATTATACATAAATATGCATATTCTAATAAAACAAGGTAAGACAATCAGGTTTTTTAATAAAACGATACAAAAATGTATCTTGATTTCTGAAGAAATCTTGCATCAATTCCGGGAATTTTGTTTATACTTTTTATATCATAAATGCATTTTTCAATATTTTAAGGGCATTTAACTCCATGTCTTAATAATAACATATATAATTCTGTAGGCATTATATAAAAATCACATTTTCTATCTTACTAGTTTTTGTATCTTGTAAGTCTGTTTGAACAGCTATTGTTGAAACAGCTTTAGAACATATTTTTGTTTTTGAACTTGGGCGTGACAACCTTTCAAAAACATCATTTTTATTTTTATTACAGCATGCATTTTTGCAATAATTTTTTGATGAAATATCTCGTTTTTCTACTAATGAACCTCTTCTTTTATATAAATCAACGTTAACGTTTTCCTTTTCTTCAACTAGCGGTTTTTGTTTTTCATATTTGATAAGTTTTTTTAAATCTAAAATTAAAAATACAATGCATACTTTAATTAATTAAAAAAAAAAAATCATTTTTAAATGAATATACATTAATAAACTATACCAAAATTTACTTATCATTAATAAAACTAATTTATATCTTAGAAATGTGAAAAAATGTTGATGATATACATTTGGTATTCACTTCATAAATTGACATACTTCAATATTTGTAAACAATTATAGTCTGTATAGTGTTAGACGTTTGAGTTAAATAATGGTCTTCAAACGTATAAGTTTGACAAACAATCATAGGCATGCACAAGATTTAGTATCTAGCATTGGCTACTTATTTCCCGCATATAGAAAAAAAATATAAAAAAAAAATTGTCAGGTGCAGTGAACAGTACTTTTGCTGCATCCATAGGGCTATGTTACTTCTACCTTTAAAAACTTACACTAAGGAGGATGCTACCCAAGCGTTTGTTGTCTCCGTCTTACCAACTTACTACATAGCAAATTTTTATTCACTAGTTTAAATAGTGTGCAGTTAGTTTTGATTAGAGTGAATTTAAGTGTTATCAAATTTTTGAAATTTTCATTTTTAAGCATGATACGAGTACTTATGTGAAATAACACAAATCAAAAATGCTCATATCTCGCTTGAAAATTAAAATATCCAAAATTCGCCAACGCTTAAGCATAGATAATGTTTTGACCTAAAACTTTGATAATAGATCAATTCACTCTAATATCAAAACTAACGGCACACTATTTAAACTAGTGAACGAAAATGTTCTATGTCGTACATACGTAAGACGGAGACTACAAATTCATGGGTAGCATCCTCTGAAGACCCAAGCCTGAAAGTTTTAAATGTACTTGTGTATAATAGTTAATATGAATCAATGTTCATTTAAATAGTAATTAACTATGATGTGAACACAACTAATGATTAATAATTATATTTATATTATTTACATACCTTTCATGAATTTTTGAAGCAAATGAGATTCGACATTTTCATACCCTAGTTCTTTGAGATGACGTAAAACCACAACTTGGTCCAATTCCATCAAAAAAAAATTGTGTATTTAATGTATTTACAAAAGAAATTGAAAATCTTAAGCTTATAATTTCAAATGTAAAAGCGTATAAATGTATACTATTATAATATATTTATATATGTATTACAGAATATATTATATACTTAATAACTATTAATTATTAAATATATTGAGATTAAGACAGAACTCAAAAGTTTCAGGATGCTCGAGCAATTCCGAACTCCGATCGACGACGACGACCGTTCAAAAATCATTAGTTGTATTTGAAACTTTGATAGTGTTATCTATGGCCGTGGTATATACCAAAGTGAATCCAATCTTGGAATATCCAGCGCCACCAGTGTGGTAGTGGCGCGAGCTAAATAACAAAAAAATATAGCGACGGCAGGACAATATCACAATTAAAGAAATAAAATATCTTTAATCGTGTGAATAGACCATTTATTTTGTGCTTATTAATTATGGTAATGAATTTTTTTTTTTTTGAAAACTGCTTGATGGCTTTTTTATTATTACGATCAATGATCTTTAACAATACATTACAGAGGTATACATAAATATAAGATACTAATGAATAATATTTTTTAGATATATATAAACAAAAACATGTTTGGGTTATCACTCCCAATGGAGAGGCCCGGTCTTAGTCTAACATTTTATACTAAGACTTAGTAACTAAGTCATATGGTCTTCGGCGTTTGAGACGCCTTATGTCTTGAGAGTTGTCAAGTAGTTGAATTGCTGCTGGATTGGTGTGTTGATGTAGTCTTGTCTCGTGTTTTCGGGCAAACTTTGTTATCTCGTCCTGGACTGAGGGCATCATCAAGTCTCGGTGGATAGTGTCATTTCTGTCGTACCTTTACTCTGCGACAATAGTACGGAGAGCAATGTTTTGACAGCGTTGAATAATCTCAATATTGGACTTACTGGCACAACCCCAAAGTT